AAATAAAATGAGGGGGTGGCAGGGCAACACATAAAAACTAACAAACATAAACCTCTTTATAAAAATGGTTCACACATCCACTGTGGCAAATATCACCACATAGGGACAGTCATAAAAAAAGGGAACTGAGACCTTAGGAAATACAGAAGTTGCCACTGCTGATCCTTCATGAAAATACTGGGGGGGGGGGGGGTTTATAAAAACTCAGTTAAGACTTGTGAAATGAAAGAGAGAAGCTGATTGGTTGCCATGCACAGTTGCTCCAGTTTTGATCAATTCCCCTCTATGTAGCCGACTGCCTTGTTGGTCAATGGTTTCAATACATAAATGGCCAGTTCACACTACTGTATTGCAGGAACGCATATTACATGCGCTTGTGCACAGAGGTGCTATTTAATTCAAATGGCACATCAACACCTCCACATGGAATGCAACGCATGACAGGGATACACAAAATGCAGCAGTTATGGTTTTAGGTGCCTTAGGCATCCAATAAAAATGAATGGGCTGGTTAACGCAACACCTCGAAGGCACCACCAAACCTGACGAGCGTGAAGAGGTCCTAAGTCACCAAAACGGAACAGGTAAGCACATAAGATGTTATTACTTCACTCTAAAATTTAATAACCTGGATACTTGTTCCAGGTCAATGACACAAGACAAAGCAATTTACCATCTTCAAAAAGAGCAATCATTAATGGCGGCCTCATAATTTTTGGACTACAGTTACATCGTTACATAGTTAGTCAGGCTGAAAAAAGACACAAGTCCCATGGGAACACAGAGAAAACCTGACAGAGCTTTTCATTCTTCCCACCTCTCCTAAAACAAAAACAATTGCTGGAGTTCGGCTCTTACACTGCAGTTACATAAAAACATTTAAACACTTTCTTTTGCCAAGTTCAGCATGGAAAAGAAAGAAATCGGCTTTTATTCTGTAACCTTTCTAAAGATGAGAAATGCTGTGCTCCTGCTCTTAAAGGAAACCAAAGCTGGGAGAAACATGGTGGATGCCACTGCAGGCCTCCCTTCAGCAAAAATTCTATTTGCCCGTTGTCAAGCTGATCCGATGTATTCAGTACCTCCAAGACATTGACCTCAGGCAAGCATGCAAATAGGAAGATTTGACTTTCTCTAAATATATATTTAGGTTAGAGGGTCAAGTATGACTTGCAGGCAATTGGCACTTTTAGAAGGTCTGTAATGGAAGCCTCCGTATTGCTTTTGGTACAGATTCCCTTTAAAGGTAACCTGTCCTGAGGAATTAAGGAGGCCTACAGTACTGCAGCCATTAGACCAGCATACCAGACAGGCAACCTTCATTATCCGAATAAGGCCAGGAATAACAGCCTCCATTATCACTATAGATTTCCTTTAATGAGAAGCTTTGGAGCTTCTCCAATACAAAGATGACTGAGAACATTCAGATACTATGTTTGTACTGTTCGGCATGGTGCAGAATCCACATACCCAACTTCAGTCTTATGTAGAACAAAACATGAAACCCCCAGCTGTACTGCTGTGGGAACAAGGAGTGCGTTCAGCAAAAAATCATGCCAGTGTCTCAGCCAAAGCTAAGCCTTCTATTTCCAGCCTATGCATTGGTAAAATGTAAGTGATGGCTCCAGGCATCACCACTGTTGAGTATTAGACGGCATAAATCTTTCTCAGTTGACCTAATTTTGCTTCAGCCCATTAAAGGTGGTGAGGAGAGACTATGGTTAATTATCACTAAAACCTATCTTCCATGGTGCCATTTCACTGGATCAAGGTTCCTGGCTGAGCCCTCCCATGCCTTGTCTACCTCCAGCATCTTTGAAGACTGTCACAGGTTACACCCCAGGGTTCTATATGCTAGAGGAAAAAGATTGTAAATATTGTGGAAAGAGTGTGCCAAATGGAAGGACATTTACAATTCCCATACTCATCTGATAATCCTAAGCCATACGACCGCTTTGAGCATCACTTGCATTGGTCTGGCAATAACCAAGTCACCCAGAGGTTCACAAGAGAACAATAATCAGGAATCCCATGCTCAGAAGTAGAGATGCATGCAGATTTGCCAACATGCTGGTTAATCTTCTGGGCACTCAGTTTCTTTTCAAGGGAGAAAATGAACACGATTTTTTAAAATAAAAACTGCATAGACAAAACAATCTTTACAAAGTTTGTGCTAACTGGTATATAACCAACTGATTCATTCGTCTTACGCTTTGGAATTTCCTACAATCAGCACCTACTCCTTGCTCTTGGATTCCACACACTAGAGGACCCATTCATAGGCTGACAATGGTTGGTGTTTGGCCTTATTTTGCACAATATAACGGCTCATTTTGTCTCTTGGGTAGAGAATGGAAAGTTGTAATTTAGCACTTAGGCTCCGTTCACACCTAGGCATTTTGTCGCTCAAAGCCAAGCGAAACAAAACACTGAAGCCAAGGAAATTTCCCACTGAAATATTTGGGACCAAAAAGTAGCTTTTTCCAGTGACAGGTGCTTTTCTGCTTGCGACAAAACGCTCAAGCGTGAACAGGGGCCATAGAAATGAATGAGATTCCTTGTCTTGCTTATCTTTGATGTACAAAATTCCAAGGCGGGAATGGGGGCAGAGCAAATGCACTAAGCTGCACAAGTTACTTTAACTGCATTTAAAGTTTTCATCAAAACACTCAATTCACATAATAAAATTTTGCATACGTTTTCCAGATAATAAAGTTTTAGGAGGTTGGTTTGATTATTTTAGGTCTATGTATTGTATGTTTTAATCTGGTAAAAGTCTTTTTACATACTGTAATAAAACGTATTTATTCGACGTTGATTGTGGACTTCACTAACACTTAGCCCTCGTTCACACCTGAACGTTTTGTAGCGCGTTCTACGCTCGAAGAACGCTCTACAAAACGCTCAAAAATATAAATTGCATTGGAGTCATTGGACTCGTTCCCACCTTGCCGTATTTCCGCCCGTCCCGAACGCGCTACAAAACGGCCCACGCCTGAAAAGGTACAGGCACTACTTTGGGCCGTTTTGTAGGGCGTTTTCCATTGGAATACAGCCAAGTAGCCTTTGGAATCGCGCGACGGTGGCGCGTCTTTTTTACCGCGAATCGCGGTAAAAAAACCGCGCGACGGTCGCGCGACAGACGCGCTTTTGCAATACGCCTAGGTGTGAACCCAGGCTTAGTATTGTGAAAATCCTAAATTGTTTGTCGCTTTATTACATATGTAGTTTAGTGCAGGCAAGCTGGCATGGAGCACAGGCTTGTAGGGTAAGTGGTCTATAACTTGGTTTACAATTGTTTTAAACTCAAATCTGTATTCCGACCCTACGTGGAATAGCTAAATTTTCTGTTCTCAATAGCCAATCAATAGAACCTCATAAAGGTATTCACATTTTAAAGGAGCAAAACTACTTTTGGGCCAACATAGGGAACCAGTCACACTTCTCTGCTTCTGTATTGTGTTAATGCACCGCAGTGCAAAGTATGTCTCAACCTCTAGTAGAAAGGTCATATTTGCCGTCACTGTTCCTGTGTGTTATGTTAATGCACCACAGTGCAAAGTATGTTTCAGCCTTTACTAGAAAGGTCATATTTGCTGTGCTTTAGTGAATTAGTCCTGTTGCGTGCTTTTCTGACCTACCAAGAAGGTACGAAAACCTCCATAGCAGCTAACAAGGTCAGGTTTACCATGGAAAGGGACTGGTGGACTAAAATGTGTTGGTAACAAAAACAAAAAGCTTTTTCCACTAAAGTGGATCATTAACAAAACTCAAGATCATTTCTTTTCGTAATTTCATTATTTCTCTGAAATAAATCAAAGAAAACAACATGGTTTAGGAAGGTGGCATCTAATAAAGAGCCATGTTAAAGGCAATGAGGTGTCTGGAGAAATGGGCATTCTAGCTGCAGTGCATTTGTTTTGAACCAGAGAACACAGGAGGGCATTTACAAATATTCAGGCTTCGATGCTTTGCTCTTACAGGAACATTTGAAAATTTTCTTCTCACAAGCACATATTTGCCAATCAAAAATGTGTTTGATTAGACAAAGCTCCCTAGGGTCTTCCACAGAGATCATCTGTCTTGCCTGTAAGGCCGGTGCTATATGACTCTGTCCCTGCGGCTGGCTCAGGTTTTGACTAGCTGAGTGCATACAGCATAGAAATCAAAGACCTCTCTATGCAAGCATCCATCTCTGAAAGAAAAACGGAACAGAAGACACACAAGAAAACACTTGCCTGCACATATTTGGATGACATACTGAGACAACGCTGTCAAACTTTGGAGCTGTGTACTGCCTCTTTCCATACAAGTCTGGAAGCTAGTCAGTGTTATCCCAAGGAGGGAGGTGAAAAGATGCTCTCTGCATACTCACCATTGGGAGACAGGAGGAAGACGCAACAGGCTTCATGTGAGCTGAACTCCAGGCACATATAAAGAAAACACCAATTAATGCAGTCATGTATTCATTGATACATTGCTAAAAATATTTTGAATGCAACTCGAAAAAAAGAACCTGACCTTGATAAAGCAGCGATATCCTCCTCCTGTAATTAACTCAGACTGGGTGAGAGATGGCCAAGCACTAGAAACCAATAACGCTCTGCTGTCCGCTTGTGTGTCAACAGTGAACACACTGACAGGAGGAGACAGAGTGATGACTTAACAGTGTGCTGCTACTGCTTCATTGCCCAGTCAGCAAACTGGGAGTGATCTTGACCAAACTGTGCTGCAGTGAAGGTTGCAGACTAGGCTGTGCTGTCTGGCGGGGTACCGGAATCACAAAAGTGGCTGCACAGACCTCAAAATCCTTTGGCAGTTAAAACAGTTATATGAATATCAATTGTGTACTTAACCATTTGCCTGGAGTTCAGCTTTAATGTGAACTGGCGGAAAAGAAAAAGTAGAGGTGTTGGCCAGAACCCAACTGTGTATGTGTGTTTTTTAAATATCAGGAATATGCATTTGATTGGTTCCAAACTATTTCCTTTCCTCCAGTGTCACACAAAATCCCAGGTAAAGGGAAACAAACTAACCTTTAAATAAGAATAAATGCACATTCAGATATAAGCTTCGCCAATACATTGTACGCAAAACTAGAACCCGGAATATCCTGCTGTGATCCAGCTTCTGCACGCACCTCCAGAAATGTCCTACCTTGTACAGATCTGCATAATACAACAATGCTACACTTTCACCTGCTGTACCGTAAGTTTTACAATAGAGTCATCTGGTATGTGACAATCAAAGAGTACATCCATCTTTTTTTTCTGAAAATAATTTAAAGTAGAAGATATTTCTTATTACGTTCTTCAGGTAAACAATTCACAGCCTGATTATTTACAACTACAAAAAGTCTCTACAAAATGTTGGCAACGCTTCTGTAAGATGCTCGTCGAAAAAGTCAGCTGTAATAAAAATAAAATGCAGACAGCACTGACGTGGCCACTTAAATACGTTTTCTCCACAAAAAGGACGTTGAGGATCACGGACAACAAGTCGAAATGGTGACATTGATGCCCAAATTCCCATTGTCAGCAAACAGGTGTGCAATTGCAGTGTCGAAAACCAAGCAGTCGCTGTTCATGATGGCTGCTGCCACCCCGTCGTGAATGGACCGAGGTGTGGCTTCCCAAGTCAAACGCCTTCGGTTTCCGTTGAGTTCCAGTCTGTAGGCAAAGTTTTCTGCTTGTTTTCGTGTGCCTATTAAGAGGACGATGGCAAAGAACTGTTGGTGGCCCTCGTATTTCTCTTGTTTCTCCAGCACTAACATGAAGTGGTGGCTGAAGCAGAACTGCATCATCACCCAGTCCACGGCCCCCGGCAAATTGATGTCTGTTGCAAGGAAGACTATGTCTTCACCCTGGAGGGTAGTGATGCTTTTGTGGGCATGTGTCAGGTGGGGCATAACTGCTTCCAATGAACCCTGCCATTTGCAGGACGCTCCAGGACAGGGACAGGAGTAGGGGCGATATTCACAGATGTCCTCATGTTCAGGCTTTTCAGTATGATGGAGAGACAAAGAGCACCCAGTAGAAGCATACTGGAGGAAGGAGAAAACATGAAGTGTATGAATATTTTGGTTATAAAATATACAACAATGATATAAAAATATACAAAGCAGATAAATTGATTCAATTAAAGTAAACCTATCATTGGTGAATAGGGATCGGAACCCATTATGAGGCTCAACTTCATTTACATACATAGAAAATAGAAAAACAGAGCGCCACCTCCATGTGTAAAATCTTTTATTAAAGTGGATAAAAAAGGATATATGTTCTCACAAACCTAAAGTTGCATCACGCTTGTCAAAAGCTACAGTGCCGGTTACAAAGGAATAATCCTTTGCATTAAGCTAGGTTTACGCATTTCAGGGGCATGCCCCCATCCTCAGGACCCCCAAAGGCATGCCCCTGAAACGCGTAAACCTAGCTTACTGCAGCCGGTGGACATTGATGTGACTGGAGTTAGCTGTATTACGGAGTTCGGGGTGGATTATTACTTTGTAACCGACACTGTGGCTTTTGACAAGCGAGAAGTAACGTTAAGTTTGTGAGAACATATACCCCTTTTATCCACTTTAATAAAAGATTTTACACATGGAGGTGGCGCTCTGTTTTTCTATGCACATGATGGGAACCCCACAGCCTTTGGATGAGCAGCCCCCCAAGATTGTGTGAAGAACTCAAGCAGTGGGAGGATTTTTTGATGGCAACCATTAGCACCAAGAGACAAAAATGTTGTTTTCATTTACATACAATTAGAGCATAGGAAACATGTGGTAAGTGGGGCTCCGAGGAACCAGATTCCAGTTATCAAAGCAAAAGATGCGAATGCTTGGATCTTACAGAGCAGAGGATCCCGATACAGGAAAGGCACTTGTTCAAATAACGATTTAAGCGTATCTAAACCCAAAACAAAAACGTCCTATTATTGCAGCTGACCAGTCCTCAGATTGGGGTGCGGTGGCTCATAGTGGACGTTCCGGGGTGCACGACATACCACCAAGCTCACCAACATCACTGTTTGACAGGAGCTGGGCAGGACGCCAGCCAAAGTATCTAAGAGCTCTCATCACACTATGGCCCCCTGTGACCCAATGAGATGCCATCTGAGGCAACTACCTCATTATAGGGATGGCCCCGTCTATCAATGTGGGGGGGGGGTTTAAGGTAATGTACTGCTCTCTGAACTAAAAACTATGAATGCATGACAGCTAAGGTAGCATCCAGCTTAGGAAAACTGGTTATAAACTAAAAACATTTGAATTGTTGCAGTGAGCATCCCCTTGGCTTTTCCTCTCCTCTACGGAACAGATTAACATTCATTGGCCACCTCTGAAAATATCGGTACCTATGTCTTCAGCCATCATTGCATTGAATATGAATGTTTATAAGAATCTGTCTGCCTTTGCCCTTTTCCATCACTGGCCATACATGTACTAGGCCTAATCTATCTCACTCCATTCCCTAGTGAAACATGCCTGGGAAAGCAGAAGGCTCACACACAAAGGATGCAATTGTGCAGAGCTCTGTACAGTAAGGTAATCTGCTTGATCATAAAATGCCCTACATTCTCAAAATACCTTTTTACTGAGTACAGGGATTTACTGGAAATGGAATGGGAGATGATTTCCCCGGACGGACACTGAAGAATTAGATACTGTGCTGATGTTGATGGCCCATCTGTGAAAATATACATAGCTCCCAGACGCATCCACACCTTCCACCTATCCCACAGAGAAAAGGTTTCCGGATTATGGAAATCTATGGTCACTCAACACTATTTTTATGCTCCCAATTTCAGCTACTGTATGCATGCTCATACCCAACATAAGTAATGACAGGCTACTGCAACAACATGAATTGAACTGTGCCGATAGCCCCAAACCACCAGAAATGCTGAGGTATTTCTACTAATACCATTTACAGGTGAAACTCGAATAATTAGAATATCGTGCAAAGGGAGCGATGTTGGGTGCAATGTCATCTATGCCTGATACCAGATTCATTATTACAGGAAGCTCGCTGGCCTGTGTTACAGAAGCAGAGGGTTGCAGAAAGATCTTTAGGAGACAGAGAAGCTGGTGACTTCATGGAAAGTCACTTCTAATCATAGGGTTGCATACCAATAGCTTGTTGGTCACAGCTTTGATTCCTCCCTCCTCCGAGTGTCAGAGTACAACCACAGGTTTCACATTGACTCTGCACCCAGCACACACATCAATGCTAGGTGTGTCCAGCTTCTCAGGGTGACATCAGCTGCTGGAAAACCTTCCATTTCCAACCACTCACAGCTGGTACCCAGCAACTCACTGCTGCAGCGAGGGAATGCACAGGGTTCTTCTAGCTCTAGAAACAGACTACAGGATAGTACTAGAACAGCTTTATTTAAAGCAGAACTCTGGGCGAATAAAATCTTAATCCTTGCAGGGGGGGTGGGGGGTCAGATCACTAGAACACTGTCCCGCGCCTTGTCCTTAGAGTGGCCGAAGAGATCTATATTGGGGAAAGGGGAGGAATGGAGGGGGGATAGGATGGGTTGGGGCGGTATGGGATGAATGGAGAAATGTTAACTTTGTATGAAATGGTTGTAAAATTTGTTGTCAAAAATTGAATAAAGATTTAATAAACAAAAAAATCTTAATCCTTGCAGTGGGGCTACCCCTGCATTGCAAGGGTTAAATGCTCGTTTTGCCTAGGGAGCTAAAATAACAGAGATCAACTCACCTGAATCATGATCCTAGCTGGCTCCTAGACAGGTCCCTTTAGCTTTGCTTCCCCTCGGCTTCAGTGGTGGAATGTCGCTCAGCGTCCTCATGTATAGGATGTGATGACTCACATGGTTAAAAAAAAGTACTACATGCACTTTTTTTTCTGGTCTGGAATGCGCTAAAATGCATGTAAACGCATGCAAGCACACCCAAACTCACTGGAACGCACTAGGATTTCAACGTAGACCAAAAACACAATGGAACACATAAAAAACACATTACAAATGCACATACCGACATTTCCAGAACTGGTCTGGAGATGGCATGAGCAAGCCCTAAAGGAGGGGTCAGACGGGCCGGGGGGGGGGCGGGGTGGCATGTCCTAATGTCGTGGGGCTACCCTGTACTGCTCGTTTTTGTCTCCATTCAAAAATAAGAACTACTCACCCAATCCATGGATATGACTCGCTATTAGACTGGTCTCTTCCACCTCTCTCCCCCTCTGCTGTAGCTGTGTAAAGTCCAGTGAGCCATCATCACGTCTAATACACTGTGTATTGGACGCAGAGGGACATACCATCACTACAGGGCAGAAGGAGACAGGATGGAAGCGCTGGTCTAGGAGAAAGCCACCCCCACGGATTAGGAGAGTATAACTTTTTATATTTATCAGCCTAGACAAATGACAAGACAAGACTTGCAGTGCAGGGGTAGCCCCACTGAGGGTGAACAATACAAATATTAATGTCTTCCAATATACAAACAAGAGAATTCGGGCAAATCATAAGTTAGCACAAGTGTGGTGTCATTCTTTCTGAATGGCATTCCAGCACACCACAATGCACAAATGTGAAACAACTCCCCCCTCCCAGACACTGCAGCTCAAAGTGGGAGAGTTTCAGCATCACAGTCTGCAGGACTAGATGTGGCCAGCTGTTGATTGACAAGCTACAGGCTCGAGAATCAGAAGTGACAATACTAATAGCTGCACCTCCTGTGAAATCTCATCCCACTGTAGTGCCAGCAGGAACAGCCTACATGAGGGACAATGCTGCTTTGAATTCAGGAGCAGTGCAGCAGCGTTGTCCCCCATCACAGGAAGCTGCATTAGGTGGACTTCACTAGCAGGATCAAAATGCATTTGTAGGACTTTGCAGGGGGAGTAATGAAAAATGATACACTTACACTAAAGATTTGCAGCACATCTTTCTTTTTTTTGGGAGGCCGTAGTTCTACTTTTACATGCCCACAGTAATGCACCTCATCAGTCTGAACCAGCCCTAACTGGAATGGGAAGGGTATATCATTACGTAGGACCATGCAGCAACCACAACATGTTTAGAAACAGACAGAATTTGGCTATTTAGAGCAATACCGTTACAAGTTTTCAGTGGTGACTTGCAGTGTCTTCTCGGTACAAACACCACTACAAAACCTTTAACAGGGTTTCTGTAAACACCAACATTCTGGTCTACAAGATACATTCCCATGAGGACCAGAACTTCCTCCAGTAGTACAACGTACACCTACTGAACGTACAACCTCTCCTGAACATACTGCCCACTGTCATACCCTCTGCATCCCGCTCCTGAACATACTGCCCACTGTCATACCCTCTGCATCCCGCTCCTGAACATACTGCCCACTGTCATACCCTCTGACACCAACATTCTGGTCTACAAGATACATTCCCATGAGGACCAGAACTTCCTCCAGTAGTACAACGTACACCTACTGAACGTACAACCTCTCCTGAACATACTGCCCACTGTCATACCCTCTGCATCCCGCTCCTGAACATACTGCCCACTGTCATACCCTCTGCATCCTTCTCCTGAACATACTGCCCACTGTCATACCCTCTGCATGTCTTCTGCATCCCGCTCCTGAACATACTGCCCACTGTCATACCCTCTGCACGTCTTCTGCATCCCTCTCCTGAACATACTGCCCACTGTCATACCCTCTGCACGTCTTCTGCATCCCTCTCCTGAACATACTGCCCACTGTCATACCCTCTGCACGTCTTCTGCATCCCTCTCCTGAACATACTGCCCACTGTCATACCCTCTGCACGTCTTCTGCATCCCTCTCCTGAACATACTGCCCACTGTCATACCCTCTGCACGTCTTCTGCATCCCTCTCCTGAACATACTGCCCACTGTCATACCCTCTGCACGTCTTCTGCATCCCTCTCCTGAACATACTGCCCACTGTCATACCCTCTGCACGTCTTCTGCATCCCTCTCCTGAACATACTGCCCACTGTCATACCCTCTGCACGTCTTCTGCATCCCTCTCCTGAACATACTGCCCACTGTCATACCCTCTGCACGTCTTCTGCATCCCTCTCCTGAACATACTGCCCACTGTCATACCCTCTGCACGTCTTCTGCATCCCTCTCCTGAACATACTGCCCACTGTCATACCCTCTGCACGTCTTCTGCATCCCTCTCCTGAACATACTGCCCACTGTCATACCCTCTGCACGTCTTCTGCATCCCTCTCCTGAACATACTGCCCACTGTCATACCCTCTGCACGTCTTCTGCATCCCTCTCCTGAACATACTGCCCACTGTCATACCCTCTGCACGTCTTCTGCATCCCTCTCCTGAACATACTGCCCACTGTCATACCCTCTGCACGTCTTCTGCATCCCTCTCCTGAACATACTGCCCACTGTCATACCCTCTGCACGTCTTCTGCATCCCTCTCCTGAACATACTGCCCACTGTCATACCCTCTGCACGTCTTCTGCATCCCTCTCCTGAACATACTGCCCACTGTCATACCCTCTGCACGTCTTCTGCATCCCTCTCCTGAACATACTGCCCACTGTCATACCCTCTGCACGTCTTCTGCATCCCTCTCCTGAACATACTGCCCACTGTCATACCCTCTGCACGTCTTCTGCATCCCTCTCCTGAACATACTGCCCACTGTCATACCCTCTGCACGTCTTCTGCATCCCTCTCCTGAACATACTGCCCACTGTCATACCCTCTGCACGTCTTCTGCATCCCTCTCCTGAACATACTGCCCACTGTCATACCCTCTGCACGTCTTCTGCATCCCTCTCCTGAACATACTGCCCACTGTCATACCCTCTGCACGTCTTCTGCATCCCTCTCCTGAACATACTGCCCACTGTCATACCCTCTGCACGTCTTCTGCATCCCACTCCTGAACATACTGCCCACTGTCACACCCTCTTCACTCTTTTCCTGTGCATACTCCCCAAACCCCTCCCCACTATACTCCCTGCTCTCCTCTCCTGCACAACCCCCCCCACCATTGTACCCTCTGTACTCCTCGTCCTACTTTCTGCACTCTTTGGCCTCTAAAGCAGTTCTTCAGCACAATTTGTAATATCCCCAACCTTGCTGTTCTAGAACAGGCACATATAGACTAAAGCAGAGGTTCACCCTAGAATTTTTTGGTGAAAAATAAACAGACATAACACATGTACCCTGATAAATGAATAGCCCCATGTCTGACTTCTGCATGTCTGACAACCAGCACTGGAAGCTACCAGCTATTTACCAGGGACACCGAGCAAATCATGGTAGCGCTCAGCCCCCCTCCTGTTATCTATATCTGACCGCATCAGGACACAGAGGAAGGGTGATCAACCAGTTTTCAGTGTGGCCTTGCAATAGCAGGAAGTAGATTGCATGATGGTGGGTGAGTGATGCTATGAATTGGATGGTATCACTGGTAATATCACTCCAATGCTCACTGCTGGATAACCAGAGCGAGGACCGATGTCACACATGGCGCTAAGCATTTGTTATATGGCTGTTTAAAGCCCAACTCCGGGCAGCATAACCTTCACAGATATTCAAACCTTCTCCTTCCTGGCTGTCCTGAAAATCATTTATTTGGCGGAGTTAACCCAACTCCCGCTGTACTTCCTAGCCACTGTGGCAGCTCTCATAGACCCCAGTGCTACTAATAGGGCTGCAGCTAACAATTATTTTTATAATCGATTAGTTGCCCGATAATTTTTTTCAAATAAAGCGATTGGTTGAATTAAAAATTCTCTCCCCATTGCTCATGAGAATAGTTGTTGCAGCCCTAGCTAACATATCTCCACCCCCCTCTCCTCCTGACCAATCACAGAACACACAGTCCAGGCTCTGTTCATGAATGGCCTGGAGGAGAGGGAGGTGGGAATGTTCATGAGTCATTCTAATACCACTTGTGAATGAATGAGAGGAAAACGATGAGAACACATGGTCCGTCTCTACAAAGCCCTCACGCATATGGTCATCAGAACACCGTCACAATGTGCACACCACCATGTACAGACAAGACCAAAACTGGAGCAGCTGCTCAGGACAACCAATCAGATTCTCTCTTCAGTTTATTCAGCTAAGCTTTGAAAATGAAAGAGAGAAGCTGATTGGTTACTACAGGCAACTGCTCCAGATTATGTCTGCTCCAGTTTTGATAAATTCCCCTCATTATTTTTCTAGGTTTGGATGCAGCGGGGTAAGGATTAGAACCCCTACAAAGTTTTACTGCAGTCCAAGGTTTTCCCCTCACTTCCTGTTCTGGGGATGTTTTACCAAACAGGAAGTGAGGGGAAACGCTCCAACAGAAATAACAATGCCTATTTCTATGAACTCTAGGCAGCTACAAAACACTAATTGTCGTTATACAGGACATTACACTTCCAATACAAATGAAGACAAGGCGGTAAGGAGGGCTCTGCCCATGACAGCCTAATGCAACTCTGTAACCATGAATATGTATATAGAAGTACCCGAATCTGATCTCAGCCTCATGCAGTCACTGTACAGCAGGGCTGGAGTGCCAGAGGAAAAAGCAGCAGAAGGGGCCAATCAGCGAGAGCTGAGCTAATCACAGTGCTGCTTCTCCTTTCACTGTCCAGTCACAGGCTGGGGGCAGGTCCAGGATGACCTGGGCTCAGAGGAAGTGGGATGAATGATCCTGGTCATTAGACGACTGTACTGTGGGGGAAATCTCTGCATTGAAGGTGAATTTTGTAGCACCAGCTGGTCTTGTTGTTCTTTCATATGCTATTTTTGGCTGGAGTCCTGCTTTAAGTAGGGGTGTGATAGAACCCCTTGCTGTTGGTTTATCTGTTGCAGATTTTCCCTCAATTCCAGTCCAGGAAAACGTTGTCACCAGAACAGGAAGTGAGGGGAAGTCACTGTGGTGGAGCCCCAGATAGAAGTAAACGCTGACAGGGGTTTTGATGTTTCCCTATTCTATACCAGACAGGTGTGGAGTGTGCCAGGGGCAGAGCAATGTGGGGTCTCAGCTGCTGGGCTGTAATCAGCAGGCCACGGTGCAGGCACTCACCTTACACGGGAAGAGGACAGCCGAGGCCACCTTCTCCATGGCCAGGTTCCGGATGCTGGGGGTGAGGGATGCCCTGCACGACGGGCAGCAGCTCAGCTTCTGGCGACATTGGTTGCACACCAGGTGCCCGGCCTGGCACTGCAGGATGGGGGGCAGCACATAGTCGAAGCACACGGGACACTCGAACAGAGACGTCAGCTCGTTGTGCTGCTGCAGGGACACCGGCCCGGAGATCGCCGCCGCCGCAGCCGATGGAGGGGGCGCGGCGGGGCTGGAGGCGGCGGGGGTCGTGCTGGGGACCGCAGGGGACGGGGTGTGCGGTGGAGGAGGCGGCGGAGGCTTCTGTTTACCGCACGGTTTGTTAGCACACGGTCCAGCGGAGGACGGGCGGCTCATCGCGGCCGGAGAGAACCATGGAAGTCCGGGGGGGTGATCAGGAAACTTCCAGCCAGTAGAGGAGGGGGGGACGGAGGAAGGACACACAGCTTACAGCGTACGGCGGATCCCCGGAACAAGCTACGACCCCGCCCCCCCAGCAGCGCTGTCAGCGCCACAGACGGACATTAGCTCAGCCTACCTTCTGGAACATTGTCACACGTCATCTGCTCTGACGTCACACCCGCCATGTGTGAAGCTGATAGGGTCAGGGGTGGGCGTGCTAGCGCCGTGTCATGTGACCGCTAGAGCTGTGCTAGTGTCAGGTGCCGAGAGAAGAGCCGCGATAAGAGGGGACGTAGCTGTTTCATGTCATGTGACCTTTAGAGATTGTGCTAGGGTCTGAATGACAGGCGTTGAAATAAGTGCATTGATAGCGGGAGCGTGGCTGTGTCATGTCATGTGATCGCTACAGCTTTTGAATGGCAGATGCTAGAACAGAAGAGCGAGCCGGACATGTCACCGACAAATGTTTAGAATAGGGCATCATCTATATATAACCCGGACCCGGTGCAGTGTGATCGTTACCGAGCTCAGGTAGAGGTGCTGCTGGTGACGTCTTCCATGTTCATATAAGTGAGGAACAGACTACAAAGTGTCTTCACTGTGACTGTGAGAAGTGACCAGAATCATACTGGCTTTATCTGGGCTATTGCTCAGTGTGCAACTACAGTGAAAGCTTTTAGTTTAAGGTTGTGTAGGCAACCTTGGCCCTCCAGCTGTGGTGAAACTACAAATCCCATCATGCCTCTGGAAGTCATGTCTGTGGCTGGCAGTGTTGCAAGATCTTATGGAGAGCTGAGGTTGCCTAACCGTGGTGTAGGGAAATGTGAAACACATTTCTCCTCATTTCCTGTGTGGTCTCTGGCACAGGAAGTGAGTGAACATCTTCATCAAGAGAGACACAAAGACCTGGAACAAGTCTGCAAATCAGGAAGTGAGAAAAGTGATGCGTTGTTCTGGGGGGCTCATTCACATGGACGCATGCAGTATGAAATGGGGGCAGAGCTCCATACACTGTAAAAGTAACACCCTGATCTCCGCACCCAGAAGTTTATTCATTTGTAGGGATGCACCGACACTGGTTTTTCGGTATGGATATCTATCTTTCGGTACTCACCGATACCAGTCACTACCTCGTTTTGGTCTAGGGTCTAAAATAAAACAAATATAGACTTACCTGATCCTCTTTCCTACCTGTTTGCTAGACTGGTCCCCACTGCCTCTTCTCCCCTGGGCCCTGGCGGTCTAAGCACCCGTGATGTCATCATGTTCATTCACTTGCTTTTGGACGTGAGGATGACAAGGGACATTCCACAGCCAGAACAGAGGGGCGGAGAGGTGAGTGGTCATCATCGCGGGACTGAGGATTGGGTGAGTGTATCTTTTTTATTTTGAACCCTAGACCAAAACAAGTACTTGCAGTGCATAGGTAGCCTAACTGCAAAGGTTAATGTTTAATACGCCTGGAGTTCTTTAATGATTATGACTTTGCAATATGTTGAACAAAAAGGTACTAACAGGGCTGTTCACGGAAGGGTGAGGAGTTTGGAGAAGTGAACAATGTAGGACAACATAGCTGGACTGGAAACATTCTCCAATTCAGCTCACTTTCCAGTTCTGTTGTCCTAGATCAGGGGTAGCCAAACTCCGACCCTCCAGCTGTGGTGGAACTACAAATCCCATGAGGCATTGCAAGATTCTCATATCCACAGACATGACTCCCAGAGAGAGATGCATTATGGGATTTGTAGTTCCACCACAGCCAGAGGGCCGGAGTTTGGCTACCCCTGTTCTAGATTGCTCACTTCTCCTGCCTTCTCCAAACTCTTCACCCTTTAATGAATAACCCTGTCATTATTGACAAATTCCTACAGACACTTGTTCTCCCATATCAGGCAGCAGGAGCTGGCTTGGGGAAGGATCAGACACGTTGTTGGCAATGTGCACCAGTCTGGGAAGTGGGCCTGCATGGGGCAGCATTGTTATCAATGATTATGTCTATACCCAGTCACTGTAACACATCATTGATATCATTACTGAGGGCAGTGGAGCTGTTGGAGGCTCAGGACAAAAAGCAAAATCCGCCGAAAAAAGGGTCCTGTAGAAGCGACCGCGACACGTAGCTAAAACAGCTCCGTTGAATATTATTGGCCGGCGACTTCTCGCAATATCGCGCGGCAAAAATGCGCGATATATCGCTATGTGTGAATGGGGCCTAAACCAGTGGTTCTCAACCTGTGTAACCTCAGGAGCCACATTTGTCCTTGGTCAGTAATTTGCGACCCAAGTCGCAATGTAACGGAACGCACGGCATTGCGGTACCACGCGTTCCGGTGCAGGCATACGAACTGTGGGAGGGAGGTGCGTTTAGGGTGCCATTCAAATGAATGACAACGCAAAGCACCTCCCACACCATAGTAGGTGCGGTTGCATGGTACAGTGCGTTATTTGCACAGGACTGTTCGATTAAAGCATTGTACTAGTGTGGACGGGCCCACACACAATCTCACACACTCACAGACATTCTCACACACACATACACACTCCATCCATCTAGTCTCCCCACCGTTTGAGAACTAGAGGGGATCCTCAGCCTGGGGCCCGGTGTGGGCTGCTGTGTGACGGAGCTCCATCCATATGTGCATTGCTGGTACAACTCCCTTGCGTGCCCTGTAGAGATGCCGGGAGCCAGAATGTGATGTCAGTCCAGGCACCGCTACAGGACACGTGAGGCAGCTGTAAGCAATGCACGTATGAATGGAGCTCCCTCGTGACCATAGCCCCAGCCCACCCCACCTTAAACTGACACTCAGCGCCGAGCAGCATATGAATGGCTGCTTGGCGTGCTGCACTAGGGGGAGGCTGAGGAGCCTCTCACCTAGAAAACTGGAAGGCACGCGGCAAACCAATGAACACGTGGTCGCTACTCACTTTTGGGTCAGGACCCACCAGTTGAGGACCAAGGCTCTAAAGGGAGGACCATCTGAGTTGCCTTAAGTAAAAATACAGATTGAAACCTGCACTTGAACATGGCAATTGGAGTGGGAAAGCTTAAACATTACCAGCTGCCATGTAACTGCTTGAGATCCTTCTCTCATCAAAAACTACGTTCATATTTCCTCCCTCTCATGTCCCCTGTCTTTTCTATCCTCTCCCCACATATCTGGCTAATCCTGGACTCTGACCTTAGCTTTCAGCCCCACATGCAATCACTGTCACTGACCAATGAAACTACAAAGCTACTAATTCACTCCCTTGTTATTGCTTATCTCCACTATTGCAATTCCCTCCACACTGGCCTAGCTGTACAGAGGCTATAAACTAGTGATGCACCGATATATCGGCCGCCGAAACATATCGGTGCATCCCTGGTTTCTTTTCTCCCCGCTGGGCGCTGATCTGTGTTCCAGCGGGGAGAAGAAAAAAGTGACAGCCGGCTGAGCGCTGCGGTGGAGAGCGCTGTGAACGGCCGGCGTCTCCTCCCAGACCGCTCTGCTGCCTATCACAGTCCGGCAGATCGGTGTGGGGGCGGAGACAGTGCTGTTACAGGAGGCTGGGCTTTCCTCCCTACACCGCTCGACCAGCCTCCTGTGACAGCGTGTCAGAGAGAAGAGCAAGATACACACACTCAGTGATCAAAAAGCACACAAAATTAGCACGGACAGCGCTCTCAGATTGAACCTGGAGAAATGAATTTAATAGCTCTACCTAGCCTGCGGCCCTTGGAGACAGGAGGAGTACCTGTGCTTGTGGAATTATCTCTCACTATGGGGTCTATTCACTATGCTGCCGAGGGCAGCCGAGTGAATGACCGATCAGAAGTGAAGTGAGCCGAACACTGTTCGGCTATTCACTTCAGGCTGGTACGGCTGATTTCAGCCGTACATCGGCTGAAATCCGCCGTACATCGGCTTGCTTCGCGTGGCTTCGCCCTCTGCTGATGGACCTGATGGGGAACTGCAGCAGAGGGCGGGTACAATGCTAGTTTACTATTGGCTATTGCAAATTAAAATAGCCAATAGTAATGTCCCGATGCTTTTTAATGGGAGACATTTTTTTTTCTATTCTGACATCGCTCGTGTCAGAATAAAAAAAAAAAGACACGGCATTGTTTCTGTCCTTGGCGGCCGGGGAGAGTTAGCTGTTTAGAGATCAGTGTCCCTGGTTAGCAACCAGGGACACTGATCTCTCTGAAAGTGGCCGGGGCCAGACGTAAGATCACGGCTGGCTCCGCCCAGCTGTCAGAAGCAGGCTGTCGGCCGGCCGCTCGGCCAGCTTCAGCTTTCTGCACGGCTCAGCCGAGCCGATGCATATGCGATCGGCTCG